ATTTCTAAATGTTACAGTTGACAGTTTCCAAACTCAAAAAGGTAAGAGCTAACATGGGGGAATTCTATATTAGACCTTGTCTTAGCAGAACTAAAAGTTAGTAACCTAGCTCTGAACAGTTCTTCATTTGTAATGCACGAGATGCTGGGGCTTAAGCAATTATTTTAAAATTTTTATTACTGATAGGCAAGCCAAGAGGTGCCAGGGCTATGACCTGCCAAGCCAGATCTGGCACAAATTAAGCATTGGGTACAAGTGATCATGACACAATCACATTTAAAATGTAGAAGCAGAATAAAATCCACACCAGTAATATATATAAATATTTAAATTTTTTTTGCGGGACAGCAGAGTGATGTCATCACATCACTCTGTGTCCGTCCTGCCTCCTCCCTCTCTCTCCTCTCCCCCCTTGAGCCCGACCTCGCTGCTTCCCCTCGCCACTTGGAATTGGTATTTTAAACCAAGTCCCTACTCCCCTTCCTCCACCCCACCCCGCAGGCCTTTCAGTGCCAAGAAGCATGGCATAGACCCTGCAGCTGTGACAGCCCGAGGGTGGTGGGAGGGAGGGTATGGTGCTTGGGACAGCAGCCTGGGGACAGGTGCTAGAAGTGGGACTTCCAGCTTAGCTTATGTGCCAGCACCAGGCTCTGTGGGGTTCCTGCGCCACCAGGTTTTGGGGAGCCAGAGCTTGGTGCCCGACCTCTCAGAATTCATATGCCTCTGCAGAGACTCACCCCCTCCCCAGTGACTGCACTTATCGTGGCTGCCAGATAACTTCCGAGCCACTCAGGGGAGCCGTTGCACTGACCTGTCGGCTCCTTCCCTTTTCTGCTGGCAGGCAGATGGGTGGGCAGCCCTGAGCTTTGCAGGCAGGGTGGGAGGTGATGAGTAGCGCGGGGGCACCTCACGGGGAAGAGGTCAGTACAGCACCCCCTATTGTGCTGCTTTCCCCAACTCAGCAGGCTGCACTGCCCCAGAGCACTGCATGCACGAGGCACCCCCTGCGCCTCTCTGTGCCCCACGTGGGCGGGCGGGCACCCTTGTGCCTCCCTGGCCTTCAGGGTTTGAGCTGGGCCTGGCACATGCTGTGGCCAGGAGACGGGGGGTTAGGGTTGTAGAGGGAGAAGGGATAAGAGAGCCGGTCTGACGCAGCCACAGCCCAGCCCAGCCCTGCCTGGTGGCTGCCGGGAGGAGGGCTGGGGTTGCCTACCCCCGTGAGAAGGGGGTTGGTGAGTGCAGTGAACAAGGTGCACAGCCCCCTAGTGAGTGAGAGAGAGAGAGTGAGAGGGAGAGTTTGTGTGTGTGTGTATTCTGCTTCCACATTGTAAATGTGATTGTGTCAAATTCTTCCTCCCAGCTGCTTTGGCACATCGTTGTTTTCAGCTTTGTGTCATTTGCCCTGGTGAAGCACCAATTATATATAAGAATATAAGGATATGTCTACCTTGCCACCCTAGTTCGAACTAGGGTGGCTAATGTAGGCATTCAAACTTGCAAATGAAGCCCGGGATATAAATATCTCAGGCTTTATTTGCATGTTCCCGGGCACCGCCATTTTTAAATGCCCTATAGTTCGAATTCCCTGACCGCAGTTACACGCAGCACGGACTAGGTAGTTCGAATTAAAGCTCCTAATTCGAACTACCATTATTTCTCCTGTTTAACGGTAGTTCGAATTAGGAGCTTTAATTCGAACTACCTAGTCCGTGCTGCGTGTAACTGCGGTCAGGGAATTCGAACTATAGGGCATTTAAAAATGGCGGTGCCCGGGAACATGCAAATAAAGCCTGAGATATTTATATCCCGGGCTTCATTTGCAAGTTTGAATGCCTACATTAGCCACCCTAGTTCGAACTAGGGTGGCAAGGTAGACATATCCTTATATTCTTATATATAATTGGTGCTTCACCAGGGCAAATGACACAAAGCTGAAAACAACGATGTGCCAAAGCAGCTGGGAGGAAGAATTTAATCAGAAAAATGTGAATGATAATTGGTGATTATTTAAGAACTCCTTACTAACTTGCCCCAAAAGCCAACATCCCATAATTGAGGAAGAAGGCCGTGCAGGTTAAAAAACCAATTTGATTTAGAGGGTGAAGTCAACAGCAGAGTTAAGGACTGTAAAATGTCTTTAAAATATATTAGGAAAAAATAAGCTTAATAATTATATTTGTTCATTATTAGTAGAAATGGTACAATTACCAGCAATCATGCAGTAAAATGGTAAGTGTTAAATAAATGCTACTTTACTGTATGGAGGGGAACAGTTTATGCAGTTTCAAAAGTGATGGTAACACTCTTTTCACACTACTAGATTTAAATAAAAGTAACATCAATAATAATTTCACAGTGTTTCCTTTCTTTTTGGCTATGGCTTAACTCAGGGCTACTCAACATGTGGCCCATGGGTTGCATGCGGCCCGCGACACATTTGTTTGCGGCCCGCGGTGCAGTTTGGGTTTATGCGGGGCTCAACACGTAGCTTGTTTGTTATACAAAACAAAAAAGTAGTCAATATAATGGTCTTTTGTTGATATGCGTTTTAGAAGTTAAATTCCTGGACTGTCATTGCTCATTAAAAGTGCTGTCATATGGGTGGAAATCGGGTAAATATTGCATTTTATTTATATCAGGAGAACTGACTTAAATGGGGCCTGTGCGTGGTGTAGTCTTGCCTTAATCTTTGTATTCATGCCCATCAGTGTGAAAGAAGCTATTTGCATATATATGTGCATGTATATGCAACCATATTTAAGTTGTGGCCCTTGGCATGTGCTGTGAGTATCATTGTGGCCCCCTGGGGCTTCCAAGGTTGAGTAGCCATGGCTTAACTGTTTCTTCAGTGGAAACACATATAAGCTTAAACTAGCAACGTACTTGAGCTGAAGCCTATGGAACTGCTGTGCTCAGGCTGAACTTTAGTGAGTGGCTGTGTGAGGAGTTCAAGGAATGTGGGATTAGGCCAGCTGGGTAAATTGGCAGGTGAAAGCAAGTGAACAGGTTTGATACCCGTCTTCTTTGGTTCATTTACTAATCTCACTTTTTATTGAACTGGAGGGGAAAGGTCTGAAGATTTCAGCTTGTGCCTGAGGTCCTTATTGAAGGAATCAGGACAAGTCTCATCCAAAATCTACACCAAAATCTCCTAAATGTGTGCTAATCTTCCAGTGTAGCAAAGGGAAGCATCGCTGCTCTACAGTTTATAAAACAGTCTGTTTTCTAATGTGTTAGATTAATGTTTTAACCAGAGCCCTGTAGGGAACTTGGAACTGGGCCTGCATCAAATGTAAATTCAGCAAATTCTGAAATGACATTTAATGGTGAGATAATTTTAATCTCTTGATGCCAAAGAGATCAGCCATCAAAAATATACATGGGAGATGCTGAACACTTGGACTTAAACTCTTCCTAGAATACATGAGCTGAAGGTTGTTCCGTATATCTTTTGTGCTACAGCTACAATAAAAGTCTCAAATTTCAAGTGTCACAAATGTCAAAAGAGACTGGAAATTTTTAATATACCTCTGGGACAGGAATGGAGAAAAAAAATGTAGAAGTGTTTGTGGAGTAGCTTTTTGGTGATAGAAATAATGAGAATACTGCTGGCTGGTGGCAGCTACAATGTTGTAAAAAACCAGGCCAAAACAAAAAAGCTAGTATGT